AAAGGTAGGATACGAAAGTAAAAGTTCAGACTGCGGCACCTGTGCAGCAGAGGCCAGAAGAGGAGGAAGTTGAAGAGGACGAAGAGGAAGATGACGAAGGAGCAGAAGATGTGAGTAAAGTTTATCATTGATCGTTAGCATGTAAGATGACATTATACCCAAAAACACTTCAAATTACAAGAAATTAAGTTAATTTAATCAGGAAGAAGAAGAAGAAGAGGAGACCACGACACCCAAAGAATCTCGCCGAATCCCAGCAAGAATACGTGAACGACAGAGGATGCTCGGTAAGATGCCACCATGGCTGCGAACGCCATCAAAAAACAAGAGTGAGCCAGAAGAGGACTTTAATAAGGCAAGTTTCGTTGATCTTGTTGCAAAATCAAAAATTATTGACAAAAAATCAATTTAGGATGATGATACTGAAACCGTGCAAATCGACCAACACGCAAGACACTAGTTCTAAATGATTTTGTCAGTCATCTCTCTTTTATGTGTCTCTCCTATTCAGAAGGAAATCTCATTACGTGTCTCATATCAAAGAATTCATTGTGTTGAATTCGGTTTCTCTTTGAAGCTACGTCGTTTTTTTTTACTTTAATAACATTCCATTTGTGCTCTACCTGATAAACATTCTAAAATACTCTCTGTCACGGCTGGGCAGCTGTCATACGGTGAAGGCATTGCACCCATTGTCAACAGTATGTTCGCTCGCGCCTGTAAGTAAAACGCATAAGATTGACAATCATTGTAACATCTTACATGCAAGAATAACCTGCTTGATAGCTACAACCACAGCAACAGTTGCTGACTGAGACCTACGTTCCGAATCAAAATGTTTCTGATCCTCAGCCAAGATGTCGAAAAAGTCCGATAGCGATGCAGATAACCTTGTAAGCTGAAACTTTCAAATGCAGTAATGATTCACAAAACTTGATAGAGCCGCGTTGAAGTTGTTGTAATCTTAGCTAGACTGTGTGTACTTCCGACTGCAACGTTTTGTTTTTGGATTGCCTCTAACTTCGCACACATGAATTTTTGCATCAATTATAGGTTTCATTTCACAGCTGCATTCTTATCGACTGGATGAGAAAGCAGTTTGTAATCTTGATAAGTTATTAAACAACACTGAAGTACGATATTAATCTGTTCAAGGTTTCTCCAGACCTAACTGTGTTTCCATAAA